GTCTGACTGGCCAGTTAGCCACAGGTATTTGCCTATCTCTGTCTCCCGGATACTGGGATCACAAGCATGCACCACCATACCTATTTTTTGTTTGTTTAACATAGGTTCTGGGTTTTTAACTCAGATCCTTGTGCTTACAATGTAGGCATTTACCATCTCCTCAGCCCCTGTCTTGGTCTTTTGACAATTCAATTATGATGTGGGTGTTGCTCTTTGTGATTTTATCCCATTTGGAATTCAGTGTCTTGGCTGTGTAGATCTTAGGACAGGAATTGAAAATGTTTTTCCAGCTCTCCACTCTCATACTCTATACAGCTCAGAATGTTTCTGTGAGCAGATGTGCTTCCACATACACAAGCCAGTTTTGCAGCGAATGCCACTGACTTCCTTTCCTCTAGTTCTGTTCACTTCTGACCCTTTCTGCTTAGAGGTGTATCAGTCCCACAGACTAGGGACTCATCCCAAATACTGCCTCCTCCGGCTTCAAGTGTTAGTGACAAGGACAGATATACCTTGAAGACACTGGGTTCTGTTCTAGAACACTGCAATATAGAGAGTCACATGAGTTTTTTGGTATCCCTACACATGAGAAAGTTACAGTTATGGCTATGCTATGCCATAGTCTGTTAAGTACACAATAGTATAATTTTAATTTAAAATATTGCTAAAAATATGATCACCTGAGTCTTCGGCAAGTTATAATCTTTTTTTAATAGTTTTATGCTAAAACTCAGTTTTTGAAATTTTATTTAAAAAGTATATTTGCAAACATAAAATTTAGGATGCAAAATGCTCATTTTAAAACATGTATTTGAAAACATACACAGATGGTAAAAAATCCATACCATTAAAAATGTTAATGACGCGGTATTGTGCTCATGGAACAAAAATGTAACCATCAGAGCTCTTTGTCCCCATGTCCAGAGAGTGGAGAACCTGGTACAATAAAGTCATGAGAGCCACGTGGCCAAAGTAGTACAGAGCGAAAGACCACTCAGAACACATACTTTAAAAACACGTCTCCTACAGATTCACACGGGCAAAAGGGAAACACAATTTTGTATTTTTCCCACTTTAAAGTGATCGATATTGCATCATAGCATTTTAAGAAAGGTGTTAAATCTGAATATGGGTGAAACATTGCATTCTCTCCTGCTGAAATTTGCAGAAACAAGCAAGCAAACAAAGCTAAACCAAACCCAGATTCTTGAGGCCCTGGCCCACTCTTGAAAATGCTCCCAAGCACAGCTTTAAAAGACCTACTGTAGGGGCTGGAGAGATGGCTCAGCGGTTAAGAACACTGGCTGTTCTAGCAGAAGACCCAGGTTCGAATCCAGCACCCACATGGCAGCTAGCAACTATCTGTAACTCCAGTCCCAGGGGATCCAACACCCTCTTCTGACCTCCACGGGCACCGCATGACACGGGTGCACTTACCTACATGCAGGCAATACACGCATACACATAAAAATTTTTTAAAAAGACCTACTATAAGTTGCTCTGATCAGATCTGAACATTTTAGATTCTTGAAAACAGGGCACTATTGGTTCCAGAAGGTGCTCTGAACACATCTTAAGAAAACCAAAGGCAGGCAAGGAAGAAACACAGGCTCCACATGGGGTGTGCAGTACGGACACAGGTCTCGGGTCATGATTCCTCAGTCTTCTCCGGGTGACAGTGTCTGCCTGCGTCCGTGCCTCTTCGCATTCCTCTATGAGTTACAGTATGGTGCTGATTTTGTTTTTAAGCAGTTAGGCTGCATGGTTTAGAAATATTTACTCAGTAGTGGCTTCAATGGGATTTATAATTCTGGTAAGAAAACACAGGCCACAAACAGAACAAATACTTGCACATGCAAAATCTGGGCATTGGTATTCTACACTAAACCTGTGTATCCTCCGCAGAGAAGGGCCCAGGGTCTTGACTTGGGTTCTGAACAAAATGTCCAAGGTAAGCCACAGACTTCATGAATTGCTTCTCCTAATACTGATGGCCACTTGAAATTATGACTAACGTCAAGCAGGTCAAGCAGATCAACCATCACACCCCACAGCCCCTGAGAGAGGTGCACAACAAATGGAACGAAGTGGTCTGAGAGGTCCTGGGGGATGGCTGGGCATCCATTCAAAGACGTCACATTAACCATAACATCAAGAGCAGCATCACACACTGGTGACACCTCAGACACACTGTGGCATCCCAAACTCTGGGCTGCTCCTTCCAGACTGCCTACACTTGGACTGTAGGGGTGAGAGGGTTGAGATGGGTTCTGACGGGCAGAGTGGTCTAGAGGCAGGTCTCCTCCGGTTCTGCCAACCTAGCAAGAAGCAACTCCAGTGTCCCTTTCAGTTCAGCAAAGGTTCCAGCAAAGACACTGTAACAATGTAAACATGCAACCTAAGCTAGCAGGAGGCCTGGATAGTAGCCTGAACAAGGAGTAAGGCAACAGAATCGACTTTCAGGCCAGGCTCATCCAACCGCCACCACCCAGGCTTGGCCTGGCTCTCTGGGGACTCATTCTGGCCTGACATCCTTGTAATCATGACCAGGAACTTCTGGCTTCTGAATTTTAAGTAAATGCTTGGAATATATCAACTTGGCAGCTCAAACAGGTTACCCTTTTCAAGTCTCCATCATTTGGGCACTTAAAAGTTTATGTTCACACTAAGGAAGCCTCAGCCTTTACGGTTTATCATATTCATTCCTAGGACTGAAGGGTGAAAAGTAACAGATTTCACTATGAAAGCTCTTTAGGACATCCACTCTGTACTCTCTCAGGATATTATACATACTTAAAAGCATCATTTAAAATCAAATATCCACTGTAAGAATCCCTTGATTCATCATTTTACTGGCATCCACCAAGACCACACTTGGGTGTGGTCAACCCACTGGTGGCTGGTGCATTCATTTTATGAGAACACCATTTCCTGTGCAAGCAGCACTCATTATGCCTACCACTTTGTCTTTCCTAGATGACACTTGAGCAATTCATTTTTGGTTGCTAAATTTATACACTATCATGAAAATGATCCCTAACTGAGTATGAAAAGTCTAAGCTTCCCTGAATTCTGCACAATACACACACACACACACACACACACACACACACACACACACACACACACTATGTAGACTGAGAGGACACTGAATTGAGAAGCAGAAAGGTTGTCAGGAAGCATGTTGTGATCAGCATAGGCCAATCAAAGTATTGTTTAGGCTAAAAAACTAAGACCAAACTAAAATCTGTAATTCATAAGCAAGTTTCTAAAATTCCAGCTAGAAAGAAATTGGATGAACTTATGGGCAAGTTATAATCTTATACCAGTGAATTTGTTTGACACTGGTGCCACAACCTTAATTTGTGAAAACCCCAGTATCTGTAAAGTACAGTAAAATCAGGTCAACAACAGAAGGTTGCTGTCTGTCTGTACTTCTGATCAACAGGCTGTAAGCCAGGATGCTCACATTTTCTTCCTCAGGTTTTGTTAATTCGCTAGAGCAGCTAACAGAGCTTTTATGAAAACCATTATGGGGGGTGAACATAAAGAGATATGTGAAGTAAGGTGTGGAGAGAGCTGTGGAGCTCCTAGGTCTCCCCAGTATCACCCTCCAGGGACCTTGAGGTATTTGGCTGCCTGGTCTATGGGTGTTTGTAAAGCTTCTCTGCAGAGATAAGTATGATTAGTTGCACATTTAGCTTTGATCAGCTTGACTATTAGCCCCTTTCCTCTCCCTAGGGGTTGAGGATATAGCTAAAAGTCCAACCCTGATCCTACTTAGACCTTTAGTGACAGTCCCTTCTGGAGCTCCGAGTCATCAACTCACTGGTACCTACTGGTCACACTGACCACTTGGGAGCCATGTGTCAGTAAGTGGGGAATAGGAACCAGCACGTCTTTTAGTACCACAGTGGGCTGATGTTTCCCACAGCTTCGGGGCCAGCTCAGCCCTGGTTCCTATCCATGTCGTGTGTTCCCCTCCCTGCCTTCTCGTGTACGCCCATCTGTGTATGTGGGTCTGCTTGGTGGAACTGTGTGTTTCCCTTTGTTCTGTTTTCTTCATAATCCTTAGACTAGAAAATCTCAGCTGTCCCATTCTCATGTGCCAAGTACCTGACCCACTCACTTTCACACTGAACACTTCTAGAAGTTTTACCGCAGTTGCACTTTGGGGGTCCATAATTCAGCGTGCTTTGTTTTTATGCTTTGTGCCCAGTGTTGATATTCTCTACTGCACTGGGGCCTTGTTCTTGTGTTGTCTTCTAGCTCTTCGTCATGGTTTCCTCTAACTTGTTGAGCAAATTTTCTTAGAACGTGGTATCTGGACTTCCTCAGGTCTAGTTTCTGGGGTTGTTTGTTTGTTTGTTTTGGTTTTTCTTGTTATCGTTTGTACCTTCTTGTTTCTTAGAACCTCTTTTTAGCTTTTGTTGACCTCTGGACACTGTGACTAGTGTAGCATCTCAGTACTTGGACTTACTGTTCTTGCTCATTGTCTTCACTTGGTGACATTTCTGAACCAGTTCTGTGAAGTCCTTCTTTGTAGCTTTTTATCAGCTGATGATTGGGCAGAGGTTCTTACATGGAACCAAAGAGGTAAGCACGATGTAGGCGTGTTCCCTCACTCAGTCATAAGTACCAGGAACATGAAATCCTTTAACTTTCTTGACCACATGTGTTTTTTGTGGGTGTACTAGAAGAACAAATCGAATTTTAATCTACTAGAGGATTGGGGGAATAGAGGACTGTCCTAGAACTTCATTTCTGAGCCAGTCCTAAAGGAGTTCTGTCTAATGCTGGGGTGATATTATTGGTATCGTCTCATGACCTTGCTATTGGTTGCCAGTTGTGTCAGGTAAGTCCCTCCTCCAAGTCACTTTTGTAATGAGAGCTTTCTACCATAGCCATAATGAACTACCCACAAGAGATATGTGGATGTCTCCTGCAGGCTGGAATTTGCATGGGCTCCTGACACTGAAGAGTTTTCTTTTCCCTTGCAGACCACACCACTCCAGAGCCAGGTGTGCTGATGTTTCCACCAAGAAATGCTTGGTCATGGATGCTGATGATGAGGCAGTCCTGAATCTCATCACTGGGTGTGAGTGGGACTTAAGCAATCCTCCTGGGAGTACAAGCTCCAGCCAGAAGGAGCATGAGGCTGACTTCCATTATGCCCGAGGTATGCTGCTCATCACAGTGAAGGCGCTATGAGTTAGGCAGGCCCTTGCTTCAGGATGAACAGTTATGATATTTACAGTACTAACTTTGAATGCCAGTATCTGGACTATGGAATGACAAAAGGAAAGGTTAATGTATCTAGGTTGAATTGAGTCATATTGCACAGTTGTTTAAATTTCATTCTTCCTCAGAGCACAAGAAAAAGTAAAATATCTGATGTAGATGTGAAAGCCAGTATCCTATCTACATCAGTGGAGCTGGTATCCCTGGTACCCACGAGGGGCGGTCAATCACTTGGTTCTTATAGTATGCAGAGCTTTACACCAACTAGGGTGTCACACTTAACATACTGTGTGAGTTTAATGTGCAGAGCCTGGGGACTCTGCCTTTCACTGGGACTTGCTTATAAGTAATTTTATATCTTCAGCTCCATGATGAGTTTCTTAGAGCTGATCATGCTAGAACCAGCAGCTTCTGAGTCACAGCCTCACAATACTGCTGTCCTTAGTTCCCTTAATCCTAACTCTTCTCATGGAGGCGTGTGTCTCTGTGTGTTTATAGTTTTGATTTGCCTTTCCTGAAGGCTGTTGATATAATATTGGCCATTTTGCATCTTCTTTTATGATACTTCAAGTCTGTTCACGCTGTTATTTAATGGGCATATTTCTCTTTCTGGTGTAGCGTCATGCAAATTATGTGTGGATTTTGAATCTAAGAACTTTCTCCCATTTCATGGCTTGCCTTTTCGTTCTCCTAACAGTTAGTGATTTGAAAAACAAATGTTTTCACTTCAGTGAAGTCCAATTTGTCAGGTTTTTTCCCATAATAGTTGTGCTTTATTGTGTCCTGTTATGAGACCTTTGCCCATCGTATGCTCTAGAGGACTTGCCCTGGTTTTCACAGGTGCCCTCCTATTTCCATGTGTAGGAGCACAGAACATTCATTGTCTCCAGCACTAGATGGTATGAGAGGCCTGCATTATTGGTCAAGGTCCTTCCTGCTTTCAGCTATTCTGATACCATTTGTTAAAAGAGCTTTTCATTGTGTAATTACTCTGGACATTCGTTCAAGTCAGTTGACCTGCATCTATTTCCTGTCTGTAATCTGTCTTCCTTATGCTGCCATCTTGGTTAACTGGAGCTGAGTCCTCCCTCAGTTTTGCCATTTACCTGCCTGTACTTCCATCTTGGTTAACTGGGGTTGAGTCCTGACATCCCTCAGTTCTGCCATTTACCTACCTGTAGAATTGTCCAGAATTCACTGTGGTTATGACTCCTGTATTAACCTATTTAGTCATCTTTTTCTTATTTAATTTATTTAAGAATAGAATATTTAATAGCTATCATATGCTATCACAAACTTGAACTGTAATTTTTAATGAAATAAGACTTAAAATGTTTTTAATAAAATAGAGTCCGGACAACTGTTGAGTCCTTTGTCCATCCAGCACCAGTGTGGGGACTCCGTGAGGAGAGACCATGAGAAGAAGAAAGGCAACTCCAGAGGGTGCTGCTCAGGCAGCCACCACAGGACGAGCTCTGTGGGGAGCTCCCCCTGCAGTATGGAGTGCCGGAGGCCTGCCATGTACACATGCAGCACACCCGCTCTCCTTCTCATCCAGGTGAACGCAGAATCCCGCCAGGGCCTTTCTAAGTAGTCACACACTCTTCACAGTGTTTGCTCTTCTCTGAGCTTTCTCCTGTTGATCTGCATGTGGCATTGGAAATTCTAAAATGTCTTTGGAAAGAATGTAGCTCGTTAAAACTTACCATCCAAGCTGCATATGGTGATGCACACCTTTAATCACAGCACTTGTGAGACAGAGGCAGGCATATCTCTGTGAGATTGAGACCAGCCTGGTCTACATAGTGAACTCCAGGTCAGCTGTACTACAGGGCATCCTGTCTCAAAAAAAATTTACCATCCCCTCATATTTTAGACTGCTGATCTGTAGATTACTTGGTATTTTTCCACTGTGCACATACATTCATCTTCTGCCTCTTATTCTTCTCCCTGTCCTCCTTGACCCTCACAGCCACACTTTCTTCTAAGTGCACAGGTCCAGGTTATGATACTAGCTACATTTTTGATACCAAATATGAGAAATAGTAAGTTAACTGAGTATCATCTGCATCTATGATGTGCAAGTATCAAAAAACCTACACAAACCTGCTACCTTCGGGGGCTTGCTTAGGTCACATTTATGAGGACTTCAGAGGTAGCATGATCAGGTGGTGTGACTGTTCTGAGTTCTGGACTATGATTAGGCCAGGGTCCGTACTCCTGTTCACTGCCTCCCCCACTTCATTGCCCTTCCTGGACAAGGGAATGTCTAACCTTTCCAGAAAGTTCTTAGTCAGGCGATGCAGAGGAGCTCCATGTCAGTTGACCACCACAACTCATGTTTGACCTCTTGGAAATGCCTGTGTATAATGTAAACGGTACTTGCTGAAGCGTAGTCTGTGAAATGCTGGGGAGTGAGCACTTCTAGAAGTCTGCCACTTCTCAACAAGGATATATCCTATCTGCTTCATCCAGGCTCCTCCAAAGTCCGTGTTGAATCCCTCCCTCCTTCCACCTCCCACCTCCTCCCATTATGTATCTTTGTATCAGAGTGTGGAATACATATGTTGCATGTGTTTATACGAACATATATTCATGTTAAAATTATCGTAGCCTTGAAGTTTCAGAGAATTCAGTCTAAAGAGTGCTCTGCTCGCTCTCTGTATTATAGACTCTGTGGATGTTGAAGACTGTGTTTCATCGTCTCAGAAGTTAAGTTTATCATCACAAAAAATATTAACTCCTTTGCCTGTTCCTGAAAAGTATAGGAAACGAAGGATGCCTGGGGGAGATTCCAGGTGCCTTCAGACAGAGAGTACCTGAGGTGCCTGGAGAGGGCCGATGGGCCTATCAGCCTGGAGGACAGTCTGAGCAGACAGGATGGCTTGGAGGGTCACAGTCAGGTGACCTCGTCTCACTCTGAGGCTTTAGAGACTGAAAAGAGGACATCTCATGGCACAAGTGACACCAGGGTGGTGAGCTGGGGAGCAGAAGGGTCATTAGCTGGAGCCCTGCCTCATTTCCACTGAATGTGCTTTAGAGCAAGCCTCACCTTGCATTTTCAGTCTGTGACCCCGTAATTAGTTGCTTTTAAATAACTTCCTTGGCTCTTGATCTCATGTTCCACTGGTCCCTGCAACGCTTTGTTCTCAGAGGTAAGCACAGCTACATAATAGGGGTCATTTCCCCATATTTATGTTTGTCTCCAAATTTGGAATCATACTTTATGGCCTGCTAAGAACCATCAGTGACCATCAGTGCATTTTGTGGTTTTCCGAAGGTTTCATCCTGTTGAGGGCTTAAGAATTCTCATATCCTCAGAGGGATCTGGAGGCCCTGAGAACCGTATTGTCTCATAGCAACCAGCTGATCCAGTTGGAGGCTGAGACATGAACAAGATCCACCAAGATGAGAACAGTCAGTACTGACTCACAGCAGCTGGAGCAGGATGGGGCAGGTGCAGATGCAGGAGCCGGGTAAAATGAAACAGGGAAAGTCTGGGCTGTAGAGCCCTTTGGCCTGGGAGTTGGAAGAGCTTCAAGTTGGTTGGCTCTCTGGTCCTGAGCTGGACCCAAGGCTAAAACAAGGGAAGCTAGTAACATTTATCATACCCTGGTGGTTTTGGGCCACAGGTAAGGTCACTGCTGAACTTTCTGGATCATGCTGGAGAAAGTAGGCTAATGCCTGTGACTAGAGAAGTGTGGTGCTGTGCTGTGCTAGCCTTGAGAGAGACTAGCATCACACATGGGTACCCCTGAGGCAGGTGCCCCGACCTCTCAGCTCAAGGCTGTGACCCCGTGGGCATGGATTTCTTCTATTGTGGGAGACATACATTTGAGACCCTGGCATGTTATTGTTAGAAATCTATTTTCTGCAGTGAGCTGCCAACTGAAAGCCAGTCTTTTTATGTCTTCAACATAGCTGTCTCCTAAACAGTGCTTGGCAGCCGTGCCTGGGCAGAGGCCTGCCCTAGAAGTGGCACTCCTGGAGGCGCTCCTCGACCTGATAAACAGGTACTCGAGTGGCAGTGGGTCTCTGCATGGCAATGAGGCATTCCTGGGTGAGTTCTGGCAGCATCTGTTGGCAGATGCTGCTCACCTGCTGTGTTTGACTCTCTCAGAATTTACACCACCTGGGGCTCCAGAGGATTAGATAATTGCCCGAGTGCTAGGTAACTGAGATCCTCTGTCATGGTTCCTCACTGTCCTCCCTACAGTCTCTGCCTGTCTTCTCTCTAGACTCAGCTTTTATGGAGGCTAAGGTGCTTTGTGGCTGTGGCCTACCACCTGTCAGTGCTACCAATGTTGGGCTCTGATTACTCTGTCTTCTTATGAGCATTTAGAAGGTTGGGAGACCAGCTGCTGTCTTCTGTTCTTCTGTGTGCCTCTGGTTGTGTTCAGGACCCTAGTTTCAAAGATCTTTAGGATAGATTTTCAGAGTTCAACAGGGTTGTCTTTCTTAGAGAGGACTCACATCTCTTTGCTTCTGCAAACTGGGAAACCAGGGTAGAAGTATGCCAGGGTCCCTCATCCAGTGTTGTACTCTGAACCCATGCTTTGGCCTCTTTCCCTGGCAGCCTGGCTGCTTGTTAGTGTTCTTGGGAGCACATCAGCACTGAGCTGCCTAAGCCTGCCATGGCTACTGACCACTCCCCTCAGAATTGTGGCCCTTAGCTGTTTCTGGATAAGGACCCTGGGAGCTGTAGCACTGCATCCTCATGGTACATCTACTCCATGATCAGGGGCAGCGGCCTGCTGTATCAGGAGTGGTCTATGGTAGCCATGACGACTATCTTGGAGTTGGCAGGTTGTGGGTGGCAGCCCAAGCTGTTGTGCATTCACTCCATGTTCCTGATATGGCTTCTTAGCATGTACAGCCTTCGCTTGGGAGTTGCTGTTTTTCTAGACTAAAAGCCATTTCCATTCTCCACCCTGCCGGTGACTACATGTGAAGCCAAGAAAGTGATCTCAAGGTGCCAGTGTCTCTGTTTCCATCTGTACCCTGTTTACAAGGCACATAACTATGTAGTGAACATGTTTTCTTTATATTCCATTCTTAAGCTATAATACATTAACATTATTTCCTTTTAACCCCCAGCTCAAGCCAGGCACATCTTGTCATCTGTTCAAGAGTTCACAGTAGCTCAGGACAATTCATTACGTGAACAGGAAGGCATTAGCCACCTGACCCTTGAAAATAGGTCTCTGCAAAGCCGCCTTTCTGAGCAGCAACAGCAGTACACCACGACGGTGAGCAAGATGACAGCAGAGCTGAACAGCACACGGAGGGAGCTGCTGAGCTGTGCTCTTTGCCATTTCTTTTTGTTCATGGGATGGGGGAAGATAAAGGTCTGATCTTACAGAACGAGGACAGCCCTGCTTCTGTACTGCCCCTCAGCCACCACTGGGCTCACCCTGTGTGTTCCCTCTTGCTGCTCCAGGGCCATGCAGTCTTCCCCATTGGGATCTGCTTCCTCCAGGGATCTGCCTGACTTCTATGACCAGGCCCCATAGAATCAGTGAACCAGTGATGACATTGGTGCTGGTTGTCCCCATTCTGTCTGGTGTGCTCTTCTCAGAGACTCTGGATGGAAAAGATGTGGGAAGAAGGAATGAGCCAGGCTTGAGGCAATCTTTGCTCCTTCCATAAGAGATTCCAATTACCTGGATGATCTGTGGTCCCTGCATCAGTCTGTACCAACCAGGCAAAGTTTGATGGTCCTGTTTGAGTCTGAGGGACTCTCTGACACCAGGTGGTGCTCAAGGAACCATGAACTTGGACTTGGCAAACTGATCTTTGTGGGGTTGTGTTGTATTGAAAGTATTGAGGTATTTTCACTTCTTTAAGTCCATGCTAATGGTTACATCAAAGGCAGAGGAGTTGGATTGCAGAGCTACCTACCAGTACATCTACCAGAGCAAGTACTGACCCTCTGCTCTGTTCTGTGGTTATCTAGTACCTTACCTCACAGTGAGCCATGAGCCAACACACTTAACAAGAACAGGCTGAAGTTTCCTGTCTGTTTGCAGGAGGTGCTTTGAAAGATTTGGAAGCTGCAGTTGAAGGAAAGGTCTTGGGTCTTGCAGTCAAACTTTAACAGGAGGCATCAGGGTCTGGTGGTCATATGCATGTGGCAAGAGTAGGCTTGCCTCATATAGAATAATTTCAGCAGTTTCCTCGAATCTGGGCTTAGATCTTGGCCAGATGTGAGTGCTCACTCCCGTACCCTGCCGTTAGTGAAAGGGAGCCTGACCAGAACTCAGACCCTTCTGAGTATGCCTGCTGGTACCTGAGCTGCAGGCAGGTGGACACAGATCTATGGAAACCCTGACTTTAACTGCAGGCGACCTGCATGGCTCACCTGTCAGCAGGAGCCTGCCAATTGCAGTGCCTTGGCAACATCTGCCGTTATTGGCTCTAATGGTAGCCTTGATCTCTGTCTTATCTTAATACTCCAACATGTGCTCAGCATTTTCTCTGCCTTTGAGGATACCAAGGGGCCCAGGCCTCAGTTCCTGCCTGTGATAGGGCATAGATAATGAGATTCCCCCCATCTGTAGACTGAGGAGCTAAGTCATAATGACATTCCTGAAGGAAGGACATCAGTACCATAGAACAGTACAGAAGCCACGGAGATGCACATGACAACAGGATCCTCATGGAGGGAGAGGCCCCACCAGCTACCAGCAGCTACTCCTCTAGTATGGGATCTAGATTCCTATGGCGCACACCCTCCCCCCTTTATGGTCACTTCCCCCTTCCAGTGGGTCAGACTGGGAAGGCCTGCTGGTTGGGGAGTATGCTAATGTAATTCTTGATTCTTTTGCATTATGAAAAGGGAAACTTGCATTTGTGGTGATTGTACAATTTCATTACTTTCTCTAAATATGTTTACTGAATATAACTTGTCTACATTTGTTCCCTGTGCCTTTAGGACACCTTGAGACAACATTTAGACAAATCTTTGGAGGAGAATAGTCACTTAAAATCTCTCTGGTTAGCAGGAAAAAAGAAGTAAAAAATGCAGACACTTCAGCTGCATTAACTTTGCAGATCGCTGGTGAGTTTAGCTTATGTGTGATACTATTTGGTGAAATTCAAGTGCTTATGCACATATGGAATAGACTTTGTTCTAAACCACTTTATGCCAAAAATTGGAAGTAGTAAGCACTGCCTGAGTGGGTCTGGAGCTCCTATCCAGTTCTGGGGCGGAGTGTGCAGGGATCTGTTCACGTGGCTGCTTCCACTGCCATCAAGGTCTGGACTCTTTTGCCTCTTAAGCAAGCAGGTAACTTTTTTTTTTTTAAATGGGGTTTATGGCTACTCTAATATTCCCCCTTCTGAAGAGGTATCCCTAAAATATTTTAAGGACTGGATACAAACTCCCAAATACTTTTGACATTTTTGCCCTTTGGAACAGAGTATGTTGCTAAGAGGCCCAAGGACATTTTGACTTTTAACCAAAAACTGCCTACTTTTCTTTGGGGTCTTTTTACCCTAACTGCCTAGACAATTCCTACCTCCTATTCTTATCACACCATCCTCTGAAGAGGCTACCCAAATTGCCAATAGGGAATCAGGATGCAGACCGCTCTGGCTTCTTCCATGCTGAACAGGGATGCAGGGTAAGGCAATTGGAGTACCCCTTTAGTGGATCTATCTAAAAGATTCCCAAATTGCGTAACTCTTATCTCCAGGGGGAAAAGAAAGTCCTTGAATCATGACTAGGGGATGTGAAGGAGAAGTAAAGGCAAGAGTAATTACAGGGAACTAGAAAAAAGTCAGAACATGGCAATTTTCAAATGTTCATATGAGAGTCCACTGCAGTTTCTTGACAAGGGCTTCCAAAAGCATCCCTCTATTGGGTTCTTCCACATTCTTCTTTTGTTTTGCAAGGCTGGACTAGTTAGCTAAAAGTGTGGTTGGGAAGAGTGGCTGGGTATTCAAGTGAGGGTCCAGTGACCCTGCTTGGCACTCCTTTAATGAATGAACACAACCGTCAACAAGCCCAATTGTGACTATGTTTAGCTAACAGGCTCAGCCGAAGTCGTGATGATGGTAATTATTTCATGAAGAAGGGACTGCTATATAGCATCACCTTATTAAA